CCAAATGTCACCAAGCCCGCTCTCTCGTAGTCTGCTGATGCAGTGAAGTCAGGTAGTGAGAGGGTGAGAGGGAGATGGTGGACTGAGAAGAGGAAGAAGAGTCTCTCTCTCTCTCATGTGCCAGGTACTAACGTGTGAAGATGGCGCTGTGCTGCAGGTACCTCGAAGACGAAGCTGGAGCTATGGCGCTGCAGGTAAGTCTCCCTGGCCTCTGCCCAATCTCTCTCTCTCACCAGTACTACTCTAGCTCCTACTAGCACCCAGCGTTGAAGACTACTGCTAACGCTATTACTACTACTGCAGCGCTCCTCCAGAGTGCTGCTGCCGAATCCTGAAGACTACCTCCTACCTCCTGAACTGCACGTGAAGTGACTGGGAAGTCCCTATGAAATACCTGCAGCCTGCAGGGCGGGCCAGTCTTATATAGTGTTGGCCCGTCCAGGAGGCTGCTCTTGCCAATGCCACAACGTGCCAGACCCTGACGTTGAAGCTCAAACAAGGGTTATCTTGAAAACAGGCCCAAAATGGCTTGTGCTAAAACCCTGGTCTGGTGCCTAAGTTTCAGGGCAGGTCGATCTTATGAGGGCCTGAGAATGGCCCTCCGTTTCAGGCTGAAAAGACTCAGGCCTGGAAGGCCCTGTTTTAGGCTGAAACGACACAGGGTCTATAGGCCGTTGTTGTCAGGCTTTCAGGCTGAAACGACACAGGGCATGTAGGCCCTTGTTTTCAGGCTTTTAGGCTGAAAACGACACAGGGTCTGCAGGCCCTTGTTTTCAGGCTTTTAGGCTGAAAACAACACGGGGTCTGAAAATGGCCCTCGTTTCAGGAGCAGCATGTAACAGGTAGATTCCAGGTGATAAGTTCGGAAAAAAATTCCATTCTGCCAACAGTCCCACAAATGATTCTATTTTAATTTTGATTAGTTAAGATGTACATCCATTGACATCTGACAGACAGCATTAGGCAGAAATCTGCTTTCTGTTCGCGGACTAATTAATTAAAAATAGTTTCGTTTGTAGGAATCTGGACTTACCTGTTGGACCCAAATGTGTAGACTCTGACATAGCCACCAACTAATTATTTTATTTTATTTTAAATCGGTTTGTGCACTACGCTGCGGTAGGCATTGAGTGTGACCTAGTGCAGATTGTGCGCAGTGTTGTAGCTTATGAGTGACAGGGAGAACACTAGCGAGGACGATAGGATCCTGCGATCAGCAAGGCGCCCGTTAGCCGACATGGCATTAGGACCTAAGGGTCACAGACTCCTGTTCCGCCAGCTTAGGGAGACACAACAGCAGCAACGAAGAGCTACGGCCGCAGAGGCAAGCAGGGCATTCGCAAGCGAAGCTGCTACTTCAGCAGCCATGGCCACAGCTGCGCAGCAAAGCTCCCAGGCACAGACCCTGAGTCAGTCCGCTGGTGTCATGGCAAGCCAGCAGTTAGTGTTGACTCCCGAGGAGGTCGCCATACAGCGAGCAACTGCTCGTGAGGCACAACTACAACAGGCTTTAGGTGAGATAAAGGCAGAGAAAGAAAGAATGATCAGGATAAGGTCGAGGATGCAGCAGAGACAAGCGGACGTTAGCGAGTTAGAGGGGATGGACCTGACAAACATGGATGATGATGTAAGGACCCTGCAGACAGTCTTGCTAGATGTAGTGGAAATGCAGGACCACCAAACGGCTCTCTTACAGGACATCCAGCAGAGCCTGGCCGTGTTGGTCGGGCGAGTTCAGGCAACACCATCACCATCAGGGCCTGGGGCCTGGCCTGTGGTACGGCCTCCTCCTTTTGTCCCACCGGTGACTGGAGTATCCCCATTTGTAGTCCCTCCAACATCGGTAGAAGCTGTTTCCCTAGGAATGCCTTTGACAGGCGGGTTCACAGTAGGTCCTAGTGTACAAATTCCTGTACGGACAGTGTATTCCCAACCTCCGTTACAGACTGCCGTAACTGGGCAGCCTGCTGTCTCGCAGCCGTCACAGCCGCAGGGCACACAGCCCCAACAACAGCTAGTGCAGCAGCCTTGACCCCAGGGTCCACAGCTTGGAGCGGTGCAGGTACCGAGACAAGGCCAGTGGGTTCCAAAGACTGCCATCGCCTCACCTAAACCGTTCTCAGGGGATAAGAGGGGCGAAGACCTTGACACATGGTTGAGGTCAGTGCCAGTCTATGCAAAGTGCAAGTTGACCTTGCCGCACGAGGAAGTGCTTGTGGCTGCCTCCTACTTAGAGGGGAGTGCAGCAAGATGGTTAAGCGGGCTAGTACAACGGCAGGGGTACGGTTATGACTTCCGCGCTTGGGCAGTCAACCAGAAATTGGATGACTTTCTCAAGTTGGTGGAAGAAAGATGGCATGATCCTCAAGAGGCCCAAGAGGCCACTGACGCGGTCCTGACCTTGAGCAATTGACCGTTCAAGTCAGCAAGAGATGCCACGGACGTTGTAGAGCGTCTGATCTGTGTCCCCTGGGGTGCGCTATGACCCCCAAGTCTTACTGACCACTTACCTGAGATGTCTTCCTGTGCCACTTAGGAATCAGTTGGCAGGTTAGGCTAATATCAATGTGCACAACTTTCCTTCGTTCAGCAAGAACGCCCTAGACCTGGATGCAAAGATAGGGCATGGGCACCAACCCACTACGGATGATAGGAAGAAAGCATTGCCTCCCAACTGGGCGAAGGGTCGTATTATGTTCGTCGACAACGATGGTTCCACCAACGAGTTGGATGACGACTTCCAGGAGGGAGTAGGTTCAGAGGCGGGCAACGTAGAAGCTTTAGGGGGTGGAGCAATCGCTGCCTCAGTCCAGAAAGGTAAAGTGACCGGTAGACGCCATGAAGGCCCCCGGTCTAGGAGTCAAGTAGACCCCAACGCTCCTCCATGGGAGAAAGCGGGTCTCACCGAGGACGTGTGGAGAGACCGGTACACGCGGCAGGCTTGTATCCGCTGTGGCCAATATGGCCATAATCAGTTCAAGTGCCGTAATAAGAAAGTAACGGAAAAGATCCCGCCTACAATAGGGCAGGCGACGGGATCCTCCGCTTCCACAGGTAGCAATGTTGCAAGTAGTTTTGGCACTGCTCCGGGAGACACGTCGGGCCAGTAGGAATAGTAGTTGTTCCTGCTAGGGTCGAGGTGGTGGACACACCCTCACCATTTCGAGAGATGGCCCAAGCTACTGACTTCGTAGTCGTCCCGCAAACACGTTCAGACCCATCGATCCTCTGTTCAATAAATGTGTTTGAATCCTTAGAGGAGCTAGAGGAGGAGTGGTCTAGATCGGACCCGGTAGCTTCTTGGACGACAATGGCCAAAGCCCCTAAGGATGAGTTGTTCGTCGGCGAGGTAGTCGTCGGTGAGGTAGTCGTCGGCGGCCGCAAGGCTCGGGCCTATTATGACACTTGCTCGACACGAAACTTTATTAGTCACGCGTGCATTGAGAGGCTGCGCTTACAGGGCAAGTGTAGCGCCTGAGTCGACATGTGCCAACAAACAGCGCATGGTAGTCAATGACTACCTTAAAGACGTTGAGTGTTGTTTCCTGTACGAGGGAGGGGAACTGAGACATCGCGTCTTGTTCCTAGTCAACTATGATCTCCCAATGGATATCGTGTTAGGTATGTACTATATCTCGACTTCACAGCCCCAGTTTGAATGAGACCGAAAAGTGGTCAAACACACTTTGCCCGGAGGGGGGATCGCCAGATTACGTAAGTTTAAGGCTAGTAGTCTGATCGAGTCCTACGGATGCATGTCTGCGGCCACGTTCTATAACTATTATAAGCAAAATCCGGAGGAGGGTATGCACTTAGTTTATGTCTCTATAGCAGGCAAGCCAGTGAAAATGCCGCCAGAGATAGAGGTAGTGGTCGCTAAATACCCTGATCTATTTGCAGAGCCGAAAGGGGTTGTTGAGTGGGAGGTCGTCCATACGATAGAGATTATCCCAGGGTCTAGTATTCCGAGGGGTAGGATCTATCAGATGTCTCCAGCTGAGCTCGATGAGCTTCGTCGACAACTCAAGGAACTCATAGAGAAGGGTTGGATCCGACCTAGCGTTTCCTCTTACGGATCTCCTGTCCTATTCGTACCAAAGAAGGGGGGAACCTTGAGGATGCGCAGTGATTATAGGGGCCTCAATGCCATCACTATGAAAAACGCAGAGCCTCTACCGCGCATCGATGACTTGTTGGACCGAGTGCAAGGGTGCCAGTACTTCAGTAAAATAGATCTGAAGTCTGGGTACCATGCAATACGGTTCGAGGATCAACACAAAACCGCTTTTCAGACCAGGTACGGTCTGCATGAGTTTGTCGTGATGCCTTTCGGCCTTTGCAATGCTACTAGCACCTTCCAGCACGAGATGAACAAGATTTTTCATGACTACTTCGACAAGTTTGTCATCGTGTACCTCGATGACATACTTGTTTTCAGTAGGGCCGTCGAGGAGCATGTAGCCCACTTAGACAAAGTCCTTAGCCTCCTTCGACAGCTCCAGTTCAAGATCAACGGGGAGAAATGCGAGTTTAGCCGCACCCGGATCTTATATCTGGGTCATGAGATTTCCGCGGAGGGATTGAAGCCCGATGACGCGAAGGTGGCCAGCATTCGTGACTGGCCTCGTCCTCAGTTTGTGACTGAGATGAGGTCCTTCTTAGGGATGACCGGCTGCTACCGCAATTTTGTCAAAAAACTATAGCATAGTGGCCGCCCCTTTGGCGGACTTGGCTCGCCTTGACACCCCATGGGAATGGACAGACAGGGTGTGAGGCAGCCTTCAGACATCTGAAGCATGCTCTGACGCACCATGAGGTCTTGAAACTTCCTGATCATGACAAGCCATTTATAGTAATGCTAGCCAATATGGCATAAGCGCCGTGCTCGCGCAGCAGGAGGGACCAAAGTTGAAGCCAGTTGAGGACATGTCCAAAAAGATGCCCTCTCAGAAGTTGGCTAAGTCCACCTATGAGAAGGAGCTCTATGCGATCTATAAAGCGCTAACCCACTGGAGGCACTACCTTCTTGGGAGGTTCTTCTACGTCAGGACTGATCATCAAACCCTGAAGTGGATGAGAACCCAGTCAGTGCTCTCTGATGCGTTGAAACGATGGATCGAACTCATTGAGCAGTATGACTTCGAACCTCAGTATATCAAAGGAGAGTACAATAGAATCGCTGATGCGCTGTCGCGTAGGCTAGACTTCCTTGGTGCACTCATCACTGAGTTTGGGCTTGCGGACAATATTACTCGTTCTTTGGTGGAAGCCTATCACGACGATCCGCTTATGGTTGAGATCATACGTAGACTCGAGGCGAAGGACAAAGCGACTTCTGCCGAGTTTGAGTTGGTCGACGGCCTGCTGTTCCTTGAGAAGGCCGGGAATAAACGTTTGTGTGTGCCTAATCGGGAGTCTTTGCGTAGTTTATTTTTAGGTGAGTGTCATGATGCCACAAGACATTTTGGTTACAAGAAAACTGCAACCAATTTGCTGCAGCAGTTCTGGTGGCCCACAATGATGAGAGATGCCAAGCTGTACGTGGAGACTTGTCAAGTGTGTCAGAGGGACAAGCCACGTACACAGGCCCCTCTTGGGCTTCTCAAGTCCCTTCCGATTCCGGAAAGGCCCAGTGAGAACCTGTCCATGGACTTCATGGACACGCTGGTCACCAGCCAGAGTGGAATGAGACACATCTTTGTCATTGTGGATAGGTTTAGTAAGTACGCTAGATTGATAGCAATGCCCAAAACAGCGAAGACCGAGTACGTCATTAGGTTGTTCAAGGAGAACTGGGTCAGGGACTTTGGGCTACCGAAGTCTATTGTGAGTGACCAGGATGTCCGATTCACCAGTGAGTTGTGGAAGGCTGCAGCTGCAGAACAGGGAACGCAGCAACAGATGACCCCTGGGAACCACCCAGAGGCAAATGGGCAGGCAGAGCAGCTGAACCGCGCTGTACAACACCTGTTGAGGCACTACATCAACCCCAACCAGGTGGACTGGGATGAGAAACTTGCTCTCATCACCAGTTTGTACAACAATGTTGTGCATAGCGCAACAGGGGTGAGTCCTAACAGCCTGCTACTGACCTTCAAGCCCAGACTGCCCCTAGATTTCCTACTACATGAGAATCAGCCGACAGCTGCACCATGCACTTTAGAATTTGCTTATCACTATGAGCGACTAATGCAGCAAGCTGTAGAACAGATGCGCAGGGCACATGCGGCGATGATAGAGTCTGAGAATAAACACCGCCGCCCATCGACATTTCAGGTAGGGGACAGAGTCTGGGTTAAGTCTTCTGAACTGGGGCAGGAGCACGGTATCTCCCGCAAGCTCATGCCACAGTACTTTGGGCCCTGGGAAGTTCTAGATATTATCGGGGATAATCCTGATGGACCATCATACGTCATTCAGATCCCTGGTCACCTTCGCACTTACCCTGCCTTTCACGCCTCCAAGCTCGCACCTTTCAGAGAAACTGATCAGTTTCCGTCTTGTCGCTAAATGCTGCCCCCAACCATGGACGGAGAGGTCGACATCGACGACATTGTGGATCACAGGGAAATGTCAGTTCCAAGACCAACAGGCAGGGGAGTCCTCCAAAACCGAAGCTGCAGTATCGCGCTCGGTTCAGACATCACACTGATCCGAAGGAGGATAGATGGTTTACAAGGGAGGAACTGATGCAGACCACTGCACAGGTTGCCGCCCACTACGAGAAGTTGCTACAGAAAGGAAAGCGCCAGATGAATGAACTTCTCATAGGACTAGCGAAGTATGAAGGAGGGAATGCGAGGCACAAGGCCTCGGTAAGCCCTACTGGGCCCTGTTTGCAACAATGATGACTGCCCTAAGTGAAGGCAGGCCCGACCAAGGCCCAGAGGCCTAGTTTTGGCTACCACGCAACTGGGGAAAATTCAGGCAGTTGCGCAGCGCCAGTTGGTTGAGAGCGTCCAGTCCCTGGCTGCCTTTTTCGTATGTAACTAAGGAATGCCCTGGGCCAGATACGCAACATGGACCGAACACAGGCTGTAGGCAGTTGGACACGGGCAACCACCACAGGCCCTGGGCCTGATTCGTTCGGACTGGGGCTCAGGCTCTCGGGGCCTACCGGAAGCTTCTGGGCAGGGGCCCAGCACAGCCAGGTCGCACCCAGCAGGCAGGCGACTTCCATTTAGGAAGTGCCTGCCCACGCATTTGGCATTCGGGCACTGGCTGTATGCTGCGCTATTTGCTGGCTAGCGCCCACACGCTCACGGGCGAGCAGGAAGAGCAGGCAGCCATAGCCGAGCTGCGCTGCGCTATGCTGAATGGGGCGCATGGTGGTCCTTGGGTGCATGTGGCATCTGTGAGTAGGGGATCGAGGTTGTGAGTGATGCGAGAGACATACCTGGTGCTTGAGGCGAACGGCGTTGGCTGAGATCTGCTCGTACTGCGGGGAGCTGTTGACGTCACCAGCGGCATTGTAGATAGGCTAGATAGGATCTGCCATTAGTAGTCTGGGCGCTAAGCGCCAGATAGGAACTCGACATCGGTTCTTTGTTGATGATAATGAGACTATTCCAACATTGTCACTTGTGAGCTTTTGCTGTGCTCTTATTTGGTGGAACTCGAGCTGCAATTCTGCTTTTGGTTCGAGGTCACAACTATCTGGTTTCATGTGTATGATGCTGCTTGGTTTCTGGAATTCGCAATCGCTCATTTTCCTAGCACAATTCTTCGATGCCTGTAAATTTCGTTTTTTTTTTTCTTTTTTCAATTCGGAATTACCTCCTTTTCGCTCAAATTCGTTTTCTTATTATTGATGATACTTGGAGAATTTGAAGTCACGGCCACAGGTAAGTACTGTCCCTGTGGGCCTCACCACAAACAAGTGCCCTGCTGGGGGGTTTTCGCCGCATCACTACAGGCAATGTCGTCGAAACTTTTGCAAACAAACTATGCAGGCTCATAATGCAAACATTAAAAAAAAAAAAACAGGCAAAAAAAAAACGAAAAAAAAAGAAAGAACAACACTATAAAACCCTATCCGAAGTGGCTTTCGAAACGTTTCCCGAATTCGGTGTTTTTGCCAACTTTTTCGTTACTCGTCCAAATACGCTGAAACTGAATTCAGATATAGCCTAAAGCTTATAGCCTTATACATATCAGCCAAAAAAAAAAAAAAAAAAAAGAAAAGCAAAAATTCAGGGAAATATGGCAGTTTCGGTGAAAAATTCGCCGAATATGACACCACCTATTGACCATGAGTGACTCAGGCAGACGTGCACTTAGACAGGCACACGGACCAGCAAGCACGCACACACACACAGACTTAGAAAACTCAGCACAACGAGGGAATCCCAGCAAGGCATACATTCCAGCGGCAGAACTCAGAAATCAGCAGTGTTCTCAGTCTCTGTTTTGGCAACTCGTTACAAAACAGTAAAATTGTCCTTTTTGTCGAAAAAGACAAGGAAATCTTGGCAAAACAGATCAAAGATGCCAACTTTCTGAGAAAAATTCAGATTTCCCAGTCTGTAATTGTGCCGTCCATTGGGCATAATCATCGGAGTCATACTTGGGGATTGGGCAACTGGCGTGAGGCCTTGTGACTGGCAGGGCGTGCACGGGGCCAGGGCCCCCTGCCTCGCCGCACATATAACGAGTGTCTGGGTACATAGGTATGTTTCCTGGCGATTATATGTGGCCTGGGGCAGGGGAAGTGGAAGGCTCCCACCAGGGTTGTCACGCGGG